TTCTTCCCCTTCCCCCGTTCACTCACCAGCAACGGGAAGACAATGGAGATACTCTTGATGCTCTTCACGACCCACAAGGCGACCAAACAAATGAGCTGTAAGAGGGTGAACACATGCACCCGCCACAGGGGCACATGCCTCAAGTAGCGGTGGTCAGGCTGGTACTTCACTGGCATAAAGATGAGCATGATTCGGTCGATGAACTGAAATAGACAGGTTGTTTTATTTTAATTTAAATAAGGTTTTTATAGCGCTCGCAACTGCATATCGTCATATCAGAGAGGGTTTACAGTAACAGGTCATATGAACGACAAGGAGTAAATGTCAACAGAGAAGTCCAAACGGAGAATCGGGCTTACTCTGTGCACCTCTCTAGCCTCAACAGCACAAAGCCTGCCTCCACTATCAAGGCACCCCAGAAATAGTAGTTCAAAAGAGAGTGACAAACATACAAAAGAAGTAGAGGAAAAATGACGATGGTAAGGATGAGGGGGAAAAAAGCAGCTGTTCCCCCTATGTTGTTTCGGCAAAGTATGAGCATGACAATGATGAATTAGACCATTTATAATTCTACTGTGCATAAGAACATGTTAATATCCCCCTCCCCCCCCCCTTGGGAATGGCCTAAAGAAGTTATGTTCACTGCCACTACTCCAGTACAATTCTGTTAACAAGTGTGTTACAACCCTCTGCACTATGATCGAGCCAGCTCCCCAGATCCATAAAAGCTCCGAGGTAAAAAACAAACAAGCAACAAAATAACACAATTCCCACCCCATACAATTCTGGTAAAATAAACCAAGAGCATAAAAACTGCAAGACCAGTGTCTTTAATACATGTACCCACTTACATACCGACAAGAGCCATCAGCAAGTTTAAGTCGTTTTACTCAGGTGGATTTGGAAATTTGTTGGGAAATCAGTGGATTGGACAAGGTGAAAGCTTTTTCTTGGCTTGGCTTGAACGCTATAATTTAATATCAGGTTCAGCCTGTTTCTTGGGTCATCAAGCCTTCATGTCCGGGACTCCCCCCCCCCCCCTTTTCCCTCTCCAAACGTTCTATATCATCATACATTGCGAATAAACGAATCAGAGAGTATATACATATTATATCATACAATATCCCCTTTGATATAAAATATGAACACTTTATAGGGAACGGTTTGCAACATAGACGTGATTGTTATCGTTATCGTTATCATATTATTATAAATATATAATATTATATATATATATTTTTGTAAATTAAATTTATTTTTTATTATACATACTTTCTGGATTAATTGTAAAAAAAAGTTTCTTTTGCGTTCTAAATGTCTTGCAATCGTGAACGCGGCTGTCGTTATATCGTGTAATCAGAGAGGACAGGAATGGCAAGAGGAATGATTAGCTTTGTTGGCGTGTGCCAAAGAGCGTCGAGGTAAAAGAAAAGTCCGGAGTGGCTGAGAAAGAAGGGGCGACAGATACAGTTGGGAATATATTTAAAAAGATGAAAGAAAAAGAAGAAATAATTTTGATAAAGCCAAAACAAAAAAGATAAATACATTGTAAATAGTTTTATAAAAAGAAAAAAAAACAAGAAAAAAAGAACTAGATCTATATTGACAGGGATAATACGGGCGCGCTCTGTCTGTATGTGTGTGTGTGTGTGTG